TGTCAAAGTTTTCGGGGAAAAAACAAAAAAAGCTTCAAGAAAAAAACGGGGGGCCCCCCCCCCCCGAATTTTTCCATTTTTTTCCCGGGCCTTCACATCTCTAGCCCTTTCCTTCAATTTAGTTGAGCCTGAGGGCTTCCACCCGTAAAATGCAAGCTGTCGGTCACCAGGCGCAGGCTGACACTCTTCGCGGCACCTTCCACACACAGTTCAGAAAAACCAGCTACCATCCACAGGCCAAGGTGTTCTGTCATTTCCCCCTCCTCTTCCAAGATCCTGCTGTCAGCGTGTGGCCCTGGCCTGACCGTTTCCTCTCCCTGTTGCTGCTCTTCCTTCCGTCCTTTTCGATCCTCACTAACCCAGAAGCTGCTGGTGGTGGGCGGGCGCTACCTCTTGTCGCTTCTTCCTCCCCCTCCGCTCCCACCGTCTCCTCTGTCCCTTCAGGGCTGTGCGGTGCAGACACGGGATGTTTCTGTTTCCTGCCAGAATGTGCCTTCCCTACTTCCTGTGCAATCTTCAAATCTAAGCAAGAGGGGGGGTATTAACGAGATGTTAACTTGATGCATTTGCATGCTTGAGAGACCCAGTTTGGTGCAGTGGTGAAGTGCGCGGACTCTAATCTGGGAGAAACCGGGTTTGACTCCCCCACTCCTCCACTTGCAGCTGCTGATGTGACCTTGGGTCAGTCACAAGCTCTGGCACAGCTGTCCTTGAAAAAGAGCAGTTTGTGTCAGAGTTCTCTCAGCCCCACCCACCTCACAGGGTGTCTGTTGTGGGGAGGGGAAGGGAAAGGAGTTTGTGAGCTGCTGTGAGACTCCTAGTGAAGGGCGGGGGATAAATCCAATCTCCTCCTCCTTCTCCTCCTCCTCCTCCTCCTGCATTGAAACATAGCAATGGATTGGCTTTGGGGGTGTGGGGATTAGCAAAGGCCCTGCTGCTATGCGAGGGCACCAGTTGTTGTTATAGAAGCAAAAACGGAGTAGCTCCATACAACCTAGGCAGAGCTCTGGGAGATTTGTGAAAGGGCTCCCCAGTGGTTTTTACTGGTAAATAGCAGTGTGTGTGGGGGGGTGCAATTTGAAACCAGGGGAGTAGGCTTTAAGACTTTCATGCACGACTATCCTGACCTCAAATACCCTGAAGTGTTGCTGTTTGCCCACTCAGAATAAGCATACAGGTTGCTTGCATGTTCTATCCTACAAGGATTGATAACAGCTAATACGCTGGTGGGCAGTAGATTCAGGACAGACTAAAAGAAGTAGTTCTTTACACAACAAGCAATTCAACTGTGGAATTTGCTGCCAGGGGATGTAGCGATGGCCACGGGCATATAGACGGCTTTAAAGGGGGATCAGACAGATTCATGGAGGATGGACCCTGGTGACTAAAAGGTCTCTCCATGTTCAAAGGCACTAAACCTCTGAATGCCAGAGCCAGGAGGCAACATAAGAGGAAGGCCTCGGCCTCTATGCCTTGCTGTTGGCCCTCCGGAGGAACTGGTTGGCCCCTGTGTGAGAGAGGATGCTGGACTAGATGGAGCCTCCCTGGTCTGATCCAGCGGGGCTCTTCTAATATGAAGGCCTTGGCCTCTATGCCATGTTGTTGGCCCTCCTGAGGAACTGGTTGACCCCTTTGTGACCGGATGCAGGATTAAATGGACCACTGGGTCTGATCCAGCAGGGCTCTTCTGAGGTTCTTATGAAGGCCTCGGCCTCTCTGCCCTGTTGTCGGCCCTCCAGAGGAAGTGGTTGGCCATGGTGTGAGACAGGATCCCAGACTTAGATGGACCACTGGTCTGATCCAGCAGGGCTCTTCCTGTGTTCTTAACTGGGGGGGGGGCACTGTTTAAGGTTGGTTGGGGAAACCAGTGCGGAGGAAGAGGAAAGGAGTTAGCCCCTCCCCACAGCACCACAGTCCTGGTATGAACACCCCTCATGGTTGCTATTTACCAGTAAAAACCTCTTGTGAGATCCATTTCCAGATCTCCCAGCATCTTGCCTGGTCTGACCTTAAGGCACACGATGCACTCTGAACCGAGGCTCCAAGCTCAGGCTTTCTCTTGGGGCCGAGGAGAGTGTCGACACTGTGAGAACCAAGTAATGATGGCAGCGGTGGGGGGGCGGGGGGATTGTGTTTAATGTTAGCCTGGTTTTACTGTGGCCCAGGAGTTGCTATCCAGCTCTCCTTTCGTGAGGGAAGAAGAAGAAGAGATTGGATTTATACCCCGCCCTTCACTACCCAAAGGTGTCTCAGAGCGGCTGACAATCTCCTTTCCCTCCCCAGAACAGACACCCTGTGAGGTAGGTGAGGCTGAGAGAACTCTGACAGAAACTGCTCTTTCCCCCCCAAGGACAGCTGTGCCAGGACTATGGCTTGCCCAAGGTCATCCAGCCACGTGCAAGTGGAGGAGTGGGGAATCAAACCCGGTTCTCCCAGATTAGAGTCCGCGCACTTAACCACAACACCAAACTGGCTCTCACAGACAGAGAAGGAGGGTGGTGTGTTCTGGTTAGGGATTGAGAAGCACCCACACCCCTTTCTTCAAAGGAAAAGAGTGCCTTCCTGCCTACTCTGGGAACGGCACTGATTTATACCCAAGAACTCAGTTGGTGCTACCAATTCTCTCCCCCCCCCCCCCAAATTTGCTTTTGGAGGGAAGCTTTTGGCTAATCTTAATTGGCTCTTTGGGTAAATAAGGTGGAGTTAGAAGAATCATTTTAAGTTCCTGGGAATCCTGGAGATGGAAGGAGACATACGGCCATCTAGTTCAACCCCCCCCCCGCTCAATGGCCATCTAGTGTCGTGGTAAAGTGCGCGCTCTAATCCGGGAGAACCGGGTTTGATTCTCCACTCCTCCACTTGCAGTTGCTGGATGACCTTGGGCAAGCTGTAGTTCTGGCACAGCTGTTCTTGGAAAAGAGCAGTTTCTGTCAGAGCTCTCTGAGCCCCCCCTACCTCACAGGGTGTCTGTTATGGTGAGGGGAAGGGAAAGGAGATTGTAAGCCGCTCTGAGACTCCCTTGGCTACTGAAGGGTGGGGTATAAATCCAATCTCCTCCTCCTCCTCTTCTTCTTCTCCTCCTCCTTCTTCTCCTTCTCCTTCTTTGCAAGATCATCCTGAAGAACATGCACCTTTCCTATTTTATTAACATCTGCTGCAGCCAAGCATTGCTGAGGCAGCAAACTAAATTTGGCCGGTGCCCATGAGTGTTCTCAGTGGGGTAGCCTGGGAGTCTAGCGCTGTTCCCTGAAATCCTCCCCGCCTGGCATGGGGTCTCTCCCCCAGTGTGAGCCGGAGATGAATGAAGGAGGAAACAATCAGTCTCTTTCACTCTCGAAACTGGCAACCGAGAGCTTCGGGATATGAAAACTCTTGGCTGTTTCTGTCGGTTTCTGGTACCCGCAGAGAAACAGTCACACGGCATGCTTCTAACTCGACTTCTTCCTCTTTTTTTTTTTTTTTGGTTCTTCTTTCCAGTTGCCTTCGGGACAGCAGAAGCTTCCCGGAGCCTCCCCGTCCCATTCGCTACCTCATCCTTCCATGGGGGAGAGCCCCCAGCTCCAGCCCGCGCACCTCTCCCAGATGCAGTCCCCCCATCCGTCCCGTCCTCCGTCGCAGCCTCAGCCTCTCTCCCGGCCGCCCTCCCGGCCTCACTCGAGGCCCCCTTCCCAGCCTCAGACTCTGTCCCGGCCGCCCTCAGAGCCCCTGTCACGGTCCTGCACCCCCCAGACGCAGATGCAGAACCTGTACGTCATCCAGAACCAGATCGCCTCCTCCCCTCACGGCCCCAGCCAGCACCCCCTGCGCCCCCCCTCACAGCCTCAGGTCCCCTTCCAAGCGCCCCAGGCCCAGCCAGAGGGGCAGCCTCCGCTGCCGCCCCCTCCACACCTGCAGCTGCCAGTCCAGCTGGCGACTCAGCTCCAGCCGCAGGCCGATGCCCAGGCCCGGCTCCAGCCTCCGCCCGATGTACAGCACACCCACTCCCCCCACTTCCAGCTCCAGTTCCCCACCCAGGGCCCGATCAAGCCCCCCACCCCAACCCAGGCTCTCCACCTGACGCCGGAGCAGCAGAGGAGCTTCCAGATGGTTCCAAACCAGTTCCCGGCCCTCTCTGCCATCCCGGCCTCCATACCTCAGCAGAAGCAGCTCATGGACCGGTTTCAGCAGGTAAACAGGAACGGGTGTGGGAAGAAGTCGGGTCTCTCTCACGAGCCTGTTGGAGTCCACACACATGCGACCAAATGATGCCATTAGAGACTCGCAGGGTCCAGCTTTCTCAGATCAGATCTGATGTTTGTGACAGGCCTCTGGTCTGCTGCAGCAAAGAGAATCTGGACACTGGGCCTTCCTCCGGCCCCTTTCCTATTCATACCTTTTCCCTTTTCGCTCATAATTAATGCCTTTCTGTTTTTGAAATGCAAGCTAGGGGTGTGCCCAAAAAAAAAAAAAATCAGCCTGATTTGGATTCCGCTGAATTGGGCAGAAAGACTCCTGCATGTCAATTTCGGCCCCATTATATCCTATGGGCCATTGAAGTCAATGGCAAAAACATAGGGTATATTCTGGGGGCTGGAGGGGAGGGGGTTTGAGGGAGAGCCTCCAAACCTTCAGGGTAGCTGCTGGAGCCTCTCCCCAAGATACCAACCAACTTTCAAGAACATTGGACCAGGGGGTCCAATTCTATGGGCCCCCAAACAGGTTGCCCCCATCACCTCCATTGTTCTCTATGGATTTCAATGGCCCATAGGATATAATGGGGCCGAATTGCTGCCGAAATTCGGCAGCAATTCGGCAGCAAGCCGATTCAGATCAGAGGCTCTGAATCGGCCCACAGCAGCCCGAAAGGGGCCCGAATGTATTTAAAATGGTACCACCGGTGGTCTGAGCTCAGTGGCCTGTGCGCTTATTGCTCCTCTTGCCACTCCAAAGCCTGGGAATTCCCTGTCCTGATAACTTCCCAGTCAAACCCAGCTCTGTACTTGCTTCACCAGTTAAGTGTCTTTGTTTGGCTTAAGTCATGAAGACCGGAGAGCATGGGAGGGAAAGCCTTCTTCCTTCCTGTCTTTGAATATTTAGAGATAAAGACTGCCCTACTTCGGGGGTCCCCAACATTTTTGGGCCTGAGGGCACCTTTGGAATTCCCTGACATGGTGAAGTGAGTGCAGCCACAAATTGTCTGTCACAAAATAGCTGCCACAGAAGCCAGCCACAAGAGAGTCCTTAACACGTGGGATTCACTGCTGCAGGAAGTGGTGGCAGCTACAATCACAGACAGCCCCAAGAGGGGACTGGAGAAACGTCTGGAGCAGAGATCCATCAGTGGTTATCAGTCACAAGGTGTAGATGGAACGCTCTCTCTGGGGCAGTGAAGCTCTGTCTTCTTGGTGCTTATGGGGGGGCAACAGTGGGAGGGCTTCTGGAGTTCTTGCCCCGCTGGTGGAACCTCCTGACGGCACCTGGTATTTCTGGCCACTGTGTCACACAGAGTATTGGACTGGATGGGCCATTGACCTGATCCAACATGGCTTCTCATGCTCTTATGTCTGGGACAGTGATGCTCTGTCTTCTTGGTGCTTGGGGGGCAACTGTGGGAGGACTTCTGGAGTTCTGGCTCTGCCGGTGGACCTCCTGATGGCCCCTGGGTTTTGTTCACTGTGTGAACACTGCACATGTTCGAAGGAACGGCTGTCGTAACTGTCTCCCCTCCCGAAACAGCTGAATCCTTTCGTCGGAGGATGATTTTATTCATCCCCCCCCTTTTATTTTTGAATCCCACCCAGGTGCCCCAGGGGATCATCCTGCAAACAAAGCAGCCCACTTCCACGAGCCAGGCGCCGCCGGCCTTGAGCCAGTTCAGCGGCCAGCCCTCTTCCGTCCTGGTCAGCAGCCAGGGGCAGCCGGTCACCGTGACAGCCGCTCAGGCGCCGCCGGTCCACAGCCACCCACCTGTGCCTGCCACCGTTCAGCCTTCCACGACGGGTCTGAGCAAGGTGGCTCCTGTGCTTGAAAAGGGCCAGCTGCAGAGAGGAGGAGGAGGGCAGCCGGGGCAGCCCGCAGCACTGCTGCAGCCGCAGACGCCCGTGTTGGTCAAATCAGCAATACGTAAGTCGAGAGAACTGTCTTTTGGTTGTCCCTAAGGGTCTTCCCCCCACCCCATACACACACACAAAAAGAACGGCTCTTTCCCACTACATCCCCCGGGCTTCTGTGACCCTTCGCTTCTGTGCACACTGAGACTGACGGCGCACACAGGAGCGGAGTTCCGGCAGTAAAGAGCCCAGGGGGCGGGCAGGTGCAACAAGCCCCACCCCCGGCTCCCAGCAGCCCTCAGTCAGAGCAAGAAGCAGCCAGGTAAGTTACAGCACTCCCCCCCCCCGGCCCAAAACAATCCAGTGGCACCTTTAAGACCAGTAATGCCAGGGGGTGTGGCATATGCAAATAAGTTATGCTAATGAGTTATGCTAATAAGCTCCTGCACCTCTTTTTCTACGAAATGACCCCTGTGGAGAGGTAAAGCAGAGAGTTTCCTTCTCTCTGATCTGCCCGCTCCACCAGCTTGTGTGTATGGGGTGTGGACTCCCCTCTGTTCACACACATGTGTCGTGCGTTGCAGAGGCCCTGGTTAGTACTTGGATGGGAGGACCACCAAGGAAGTCCTTCTTCACCCAAAGAGTGATTAACACATGGAATTCACGGCCGCAGGATGTGGTGGCGGCGGCTTCAAAAGGGAATTAGATAAGCATATGGAGCAGAGGTCCATCAGTGGCTATTAGCCACAAGGTATAAATAGGGGCTCTGGGGCAAGGGATGCTCTGTCATCTTGGTGCTTGGGGGGGGGCAACAGTGGGAGGTCTTCTAGTGTCCTGGCCCCTCTGCTGGACCTTCTGAGGGCACCTGGTATTTCTGGCCACTGTGTGACACAGAGTGCTGGACTGGATGGGCCTTTGGCCTGATCCAACATTGGCGTCTCTTATGTTCTTATGTTAGGTGTGCACAACTGAGAGCCAGTTTGGTGTAGCGCTTAGGAGCGCAGACTCTAATCTGGGAGAACCGGGTTTGATTCCCCACTCCTGCACATGCAGCTGCTGGTGTGACCTTGGGTCGGTCACAACTTCTCTCAGAGCTGTTCTCTCAGGAGCAGTTTCTGTCAGAGCTCTCTCAGCCCCACCTGCCTCACAGGGTTTCTGTGGTGGGGAGGGGAAGGGAAAGGAGATTGTAAGCCTCTCTGAGACTCCTTCAGGTAGTGAAGGAACGCGTATCTATCCAATCTCCTCTTTTCCTTTTTCCTTCTTCTTCTTCTGTGTGAGTGAAGGGAGTGGATACCAGTCCATCCTCACTGCCACATTTCCATGTGTTTACATACTAAGAAGGGGTTTCTAGATTTTTCTAAACGTGCATCTCACACTGGCCAGGGTACGACCCAATCAGTCCATATATTAGACTGTTGGGCTAATTGTGATAAGCAATAATCCAAGCAATAATTCTCATAATCCAAAACAGTCCAATGGAGCCTGAGCGGTGGGTGTTGCCTTCTGACACACTTCTGGCGCCACCTCCCTCACTGGGTGTCTGTTGTGGGGAGGGGAAGAAGAAGATAAGTGATTGGATTTATACCCCGCCCTACACTACCCAAAGGTGTCTCAGAGCGGCTTACAAACTCCTTTCGCTTCCCCTCCCCACAACAGACACCCTGCGAGGTAGGTGGGGCTGAGAGAAGCTCTGACAGAACCTGCTCTTTTTCAAGAACAGCTCTTATCAGAACTATGGCCTGCCCAAGGTCATCCAGCCAGGTGCGAGTGGAGGAGTGGGGAATCAAACCCGGTTCTCCCAGATTAGAGTCCGCACACTTAACCATGACACCAAACCACTCTGAGACTCTGAGTGAAGGGCAGGGTATAAATCCAATCTCCTCCTCTTCTAAAAGGACATTTTACTGCTTAAGTATCTTCAAGGATGGCCAGGGTCTTTTTTTTTTTTTAAGTTGCTGCCACATAGCAGGAACGGCTTCACGGTTATGCTCTGAGGCACGTCAGGGTGGGGAGTTTTTTTTTTTTTAAGGAGTTTCCAAGAGCCACCTTGGAAGAAGCTGAAGACACAGAGATCTGTTTGCAACAGCAAGGGGAGAGAGAGAGAGAGACTCTGTTCTCACTGGTGTGTTCTGGTCTCTCCGTATTCCTCTTTCTTGTAGACGTTGCGTAATTGAGAGGGTCCAGAGCTCAAGCAGCCTCTGTATAGCTCAGACAAAGAGCTCAAAAGTTCAGCTGGGTCAGCCCTGGTCAGGGGTCATTTCGTAGAAAAAGAGGTGCAGGAGCTCATTAGCATAACTTATTTGCATATGCCACACACCCCAACATCACCGGAAGTGTGTCAGAAGGCAACACCCACCGCTCAGGCTCCACCCGACTCTTTTGGACTGCTAGCTATTGGGGGCGGGACTGTCGTGCAGATCTGTCCTCACAGAGGAGGGAGAGCTTGTACCTGAATAAAACTTGGTCTTAAAGGTGCCACTGGACGGTTTTGGGCCGGGGGGAGCTCTGCAGCTTACCTGGCTGCTTCTTGCTCTGACTGAGGGCTGCTGGGAGCAAGGGGGTGGGGCTTGTTGCATGTGCCCGCCCCCTGGGCTCGTTACTGCCGGAGCTCCGCTCCTGTGCGCTCCTGCAAGAAATGACCCCTGGCCCTGGTTAGTACTTGGATGGGAGAGCACCAAGGAAGACACAGGCTTGCTCTGCGGAGGGAGGCCGTGGCAAACCACCTCTGCTCATCCCTGACCTTGAAAACCCCATGAGGGGGTCGCCACAAGCTGTTTGCGACTTGGCACCTAATTATTATTAAAGCCCAAGCCTGCTGGGAAATCACAGCCTTTGCCTTCCTTCAGTGCGTGGCGGCTTGTTTGATGCAGAGACTAAGGAAGTAAGGGGAGGAGGAGGAGGAGGCAGCCAGGATCTTCTCACACTGGCACAGAAGATAAACCTTTCTGGCCTTCATCAGCATCCCAGTTGCTGGGAGGCAGCTAGATTTTTTGCACCCTGAGCCTTTGTAGACAAAATCCAAGAGAGATGTAATGTCTGATTGTGGGATCCCTTTCTCCGACAACTTGACAGTACGTTTCTTTTTCTTATGAGCCAAACTCTGGACAGAACTAAAATCTGGTAGGGCACTGAGGTCAGGGTCTCAAAACCGTCTTGACTTCCCCTGGTCCGAAAGATGCCAGACTGGCCTCGACCAGGGCCTTCTCAGTGGCGGCTCCACACTGGTTGAACGAGCTCCCGGAAGACATCAGGGCCCTGCGGGACCTTTTACAGTTCCGCAGGGCCTGTAAAACGGAGCTCTTCCACCAGGCCTTCAGCGAGGAGCCGCCACTGATTATATACTGATAACATCTGAACAGCTAACATCTGAACTGTTAAGGCCCTCCTTGTTAACTCGAACAATAACAGCCAGTGTATTGTGACCTTATGGGAGGCTACTGCCATCAGCATTTTATCTGTATTTATCTGTATTTATGATTGCCATTTTTTGAATACCGTGTTACTGCATTGTCTCGATGCATCTGTGCTTTAACGTATTTTAACTGCTGTGAGCCGCCCTGAGCCTGCTGCGCAAGGAGGGCGGGATATGAATCGAATAAATAAGTAAATAAATAAATGAAATAATTAGCCGTTGACCTTGCTCTGTTCTGTAAGCTTCTTTCTTCTCTTCCCCCCACCCCACCCCATTGCCGCTGCAGCTCCCACGGAGAGCAACCCCTTTTCCAGTGGCTCCTCGGCTCTTTCTGGCGGAAAAACGTCCACCGGGCAAGGAAAACCTGCAGTCCCTCTGGCCATACAGCAGCCAGTTCAGGTGGGCTCCGTTGTCACCGCTGTTCTTTGCCTAATCGTTTATTTTTTTAGCTCCCGCGTCATGGGTTTCACTTGGTCTCTGTACGGAATCCGGACGCAACGCTGTCTCACCTGGAAGGGGTTTACTGTTGTTAAACGCACTGGAGACAATGGCGGCTGGAGCCCTTTCTTTCATACACACGTGCATGGAGGCGGCCCAGTTCTTGTGCAGGGTGTACCACCTCAGAACTCCAGGAATGAGATCGATCCTTGGGGACTGGGCAGCGATACATTTCAGAGCCACTGGGCAAACGCTTTCTGCTTTTCATTCCTCAATGAGAGTGGGGTACAAGGCACAAAGTTAAAAAAAGAAATTAACAAAGAACCACCCCTCCTATAAATTAAACCATTGGGGAGGGAGAAATTGGATTATTCGTTTGTTTGGGGTTTTTTTACATCCTAGGGGAATTTAACACACTTAACCCATTTATTTAAAGACATTCAAAGAGACTAGATCAGGGGGTGGCCAAAGTAGCCCCACTGAACAGCCCCACATCGAATAAACGTCAGGTGTTTGAGAGCCGCCAGGCATAAATGAATATTACATGTTTTTATTTTAGATTCTTTAGTATCTGAATTAAAGCCACTTGTAGTAGGAAATCAGTTGCTGTTCCTTGACTTTCATTGGGAAGCACCCCGGGAGAGCTTTGCGCTCCACTGATACCGACTTGCTGGTAATCCCTGGCCCTAGGAATGTCCGGCTATCCTCGGCCAGGGCCTTTTCGGCCCTGGCCCCAACCTGGTGCAAGTCTCTGCCAAATGACACCAGGGCCCTGTGGGACCTAGTGCAATTCCACAGGGCCTGTAAGGCAGACATGTTCCACCAGGCTTTTTGCTGAGAGCAGCAATGGTTGGTTGCACTGGCTGGCACCCTTCCCCTCCCCCCCCCCTGTATATTTCATTTTAAGTTCCCTCTCCCCTTCCCAGTAAATGGCCAGGCAGTCCAGAATTGGAACAGAAATTTGTAAGTCGCCACCTTGGATCTCTTTTACTCTGGTTTTAGTTCTTATCAACTGTATATGGATATTAGTTGTTGTAGGTTTTCCAGGCTGTATGGCCGTGGTCTTGGCATTGTAGGAAAAATTGAAAAAAATGCTACATTCGCATTTCTTTTGTCTTTTCTAGTTTGAAAGTCATTCTGTTACTTTAGGAGCATAAAATATGACTATGGACATTTTTACTTGGCATGAAATTATCACAACTAGCATATTAAAAATATAGTGTATCCAGACAATTATTACAGAATACCCACCCACATGCAAAAACAAAACTGAAACTTTTTTATTTTCTGACAATCGCACCTCCTAAAGGAAGAAATGCATCCTGTTCTTGCATTGGAGAGTTCAGTTGGTAACCTAGGACTTGCTTGTCCTCAGTGCACAGAAATTAGATCAATCTGATACCATAGGTATTTTTTAGAAATGATTTGGAAAATATTTGAACACCTTGTCTTAATATTTTATTCATCATGTTAAAATAAAACGTTCCATAATCAATTTTCTTTTCTTTTCTTTTTTCAATCTTTCCAATTTTTCGGAAAAAAACAAAAAGGCTTCAGGAAAAAAATGGAAAAACGTTTTCCCCCCCGAATTTTTCCGGTTTTTTCCCGGGCCTTCACATCTCTACCCCCAGCTGACACATTTTTTGTCTCCGCTCAGGAAGCGACGGCTCCAGAGCAAACTGATTTATGCAGCAGCCCAATCGCTCGCTCACAACTTTAATGCCAGTAGCTCAGAAAGAAGAATTTTTGCTCACAGCACAGCTTAGAGGGAGCATCGCTCCCCGGCCCGGGAAAATGAAACCCAGACAGCGAGGTGCCAGAAGAATAAACAAGTCACATCAGAAAGTCCGTCCAAATCATTCTGCTTTGTTTTTAAGCATTGACAATATTTCTAAACCACTAATGTTCGGATGTCAGATCTCAGTGAGTCGATTTCCAGCCATGCACCCCGCATCTGCAGCGGTAGTGGCCGTGCTTGAGCACTGGGGATCTTCTTCATGGTCTCTGTACATCACACCCAGGGCTTTTTTTGTAGAAAAAGCCCAGCATGATCTCATTAGCATAATAGGCCACACCCAACAGCAAAACCCTATTTGCATATTAGGCCACACCCCTCACAGTACAGCTCATTAGCATATTAGGCCACACCCCCATGTTACCAGAAGTGTGGTCATCCAGTCACACCCACCTTTTGCTTCTTATTCTGTTTACCTTGTTTGTTGTCAAAACCTGGGGCCTTCTTTTGTAGCAGGAACTCCTTTGCATGTTAGGCCACACGCCCCTAGTGTAGCCAATCCTAATGAGTTTCTGCTGTTGGGTGTGGCCTGTTATGCTAATGAGTTCCTGCTGGGCGTGGCCAACTTGGGAGCCAGCCGGAACTCCGTTCCTGTGCGTTCCTGCCCAAAAATAGCTCTGATCACACCCATGGGATTATGCGCCTCTGCTGATCTGAATCGGCGCAGGCGCATAATCCCATGGTGTGACTGCACAGACGGCCGCTCGAAGATCACCAGTTACAGGTAAGCAACCTGTTTTTTCCTGCTGTTTCTGTCGCCAGCTGCCTCCTTCATCCGCTGTGTTTTTAATCCATTCTAATGCCTCCGGTGTAAACTTGCTTCCTTGCTTCGTCGGCAGACCAAGCCTGGAGTCATCAGCTCCGTGTCCAGCCTGAACCTCGGGAAAGGTCCACTGCAGCTCCAGGTCCTCGGAAAGAGCTTGCCCCAACTCCTCCCTTCGGCCCAGGCCCAAGTCCAGCAGCAGGTGAGGAGGGGAGGGCGTGCTTGCAGGCAGATTTATTTACCTATTTTATCTGTTTCTAACGTTTTTCAAAATTTCTTTGAAGAATGGCACTGGAGGAAAAGAGAAAGGCGTGGTAAAAATTATTTTAAACATCGCCGTTCCTAATGTGGTTCTGGGTGGCTCAGAGGTGAAGATGCTGAGCTGCCGACCGGAAGGTCGGTAGTTCGAGACCCGAGTGCCGCGCGACGGAGTGAGCTCCCGTCTCCGGCCTCAGCTCCTGCCAACCTAGCAGTTCGGAAGCAAGAAATTGCAAGTAGATAAATAGTGGGAAGGTCACAGCGTTCCGTGCACCTCGGCGTCTAGTCATGCCGGCCCCATGACCACGGAAACGTCTTTGGACAACACTGGCTCTTCGGCTTGGAAACAGAGATGAGCACCGCCCCCTAGAGTCGGATGCAACTGGCTTTCGAGCAAGGGAAACCTTTACCTTTAATGTAGTTCTGCAAGGAGACACAAATCCTGTGTAGTGGAAGCAGACGCCTTATGTGTCAGTTCTAAAGAAAAATTCTTCCTTCTAAGGAAGGTTTTCTTGCGTGGTTTTCCTACTACAAAAAGGAACATATATTAAAGGTAATTTCTAAGCTTTACCCCGTCTTTTCCCGAAGAATTATTTGACAGGTTTGCCCACTTTGGCTTGATATGTTTTCCTCCAGGTACCTTTATATTGTTTTTTAATGTATATTTTCTGTTCTTTTCTTATTAGTTTGCCAAAATATACTATACTCTTTTGGCACACGCAACATATTCTTAACATGGTCTATTATTATACAATAAATATAGCCATAATATCAATGGCGGTCTGATGTGCACGCTTAGCATTTCCAAAATTCATCCCACCCCCCTGCAAATATATCAGATACAGTGGATCCTGCAGGTCTGTGCTGCTAACAGCTGTGCTTTTCCTCCGGGGCAAGATTGCTTTCTGCTGCTGCACCGGAGGAAGACTCCTCCATTCAAACAGAACAGATCACAGTTTCCATTCTCATACCTGCATCAAGTAAATCAGTTTTTAATCAACTTTCCAAACCAGTAGCAACAAATCATCTCGTTGCTGGAACTCTCCGACTTATCCGCCTACCTCCTGCCTTCTTGCCAATTAATATCGAGCGACATGCTTAGCTGTATATTCATAAAGGTAAAGGTTTCCCCCTTGCTCGAAAGCCAGTCGAATCCGACTCTAGGGATGCGGCGCTCATCTCCGTTTCCAAGCCGAAGAGCCAGCGCTGTCCGAAGACATTTCCGTGGTCATGTGGCCGGCATGACTAAACACCAAGGTGCACGGAACGCTGTTACCTTCCCACCGAAGCGGTACCTATTTAGGTAAAAAGGTAAAGGTTCTCTTGCTCGAAAGCCAGCCGAGTCCGACTCTAGGGTTGCGGTGCTCATCTCCGTTTCCAAGCCGAAGAGCCAGTGCTGTTCAAAGACATTTTCCATGGTCATGTGGCCGGCATGACTAGACGTCAAGGCACACAGAACGCTGTTGCCTTCCCACCGAAGCGGTACCTTTTTATCTACTTGCAATTTCTTGCTTTCGAACTGCTAGGTCAGCAGGACCTGGGGGCTGGAGATGGGAGCTCACTCCGTCATGCGGCACCCGGGTCTCGAAAATGCCGAACTACCGGCCTTCCGGTCTGCAGCTCAGCATCTTAACCATACAGGCTGCTTTGTCGTTGATATACGGCAACGATACCAGAAGCGGAACTAAGGAAATCTAGCCCCCTCTTTCATTTTCTGTCACCATATCCTGTCGTATTGAGAGAGCCTTATTACTATCGTAGGCCTAAAGTCATCTCGTTGGAAACCCGGTGTTATATTTGTCTGAGGTCGCAGGACAATCCTGCTTGGGTACACATACTGTGGCCCTCTGTTCATCCTGACCGGCTAGCTTTTCTCGGATGCAAGGCGGGAGGCGGTTCTCTTTGTGACTCACGACTTACCTGTTCCTTCTGTTCCTCTCCGCCCACGTCCTCTGTGCCTTCCCTTTGTTCTTCCCGCCCTCCCCAGTACGATGGCAAGCTCGGAAGCATGAAAAAGCCTCCCATGCTGCAGCCCAGCAAGGAAGCTTGGTAAGTGCATACTGAAGCCCGCGGAAGTACATGTGCAGTCGTAAGGGCAAAAGGGCACTGGCCGGATGTCACAATCCTGCTCTCTCAGCCCCGCCTACCTCACAGGGTGTCTGTTGTGGGGAGGGGGAGGGAAAGGAGTTTGTCAGCCGCTCTGAGACACCGAGCGAAGGGTGGAGTATAAATCCAATCTCCTCCTCCTCGTCTTCCTCCCGCCCCCTCCGCCAGTTTGGTGCAGTGGTTAAGTGCGCGGACTCTAATCTGGGAGAACCGGGTTTGATTCCCAACTCTTCCTCCACTTGCACCTGGCTGGATGACCTTGGGCAAGCCACAGTTCTGATAAGAGCTGTTCTTGAAAAAGAGCAGTCCTCAAAAGAGCTCTCTCAGCCCCATGCTTACCTCACAGGATGTCTGTTGTGGGGAGGGGAAGGGAAAGGAGTTTGTCAGCCACTCTGAGACTCCTTTTGGTAGTGAAGGGCGGGGTATCGTCTTCATCTTCTAAAAGCAGGGCAGCAACAGGGGGCCGGGGAGGACGACCAGGACTGGATAAGGCTACCCCCCCCAGAGAGAATCGGAAAGCCAGCCAGTCAGAAGGAGCGCGTCGGCAGGGGCGGTGATGCCACCCGCCTTCCCCCGTTCAGGTGTCTGAGGCCCCTGCTGCCCTGAGAGGCAGGACACCAAGGTGGCAGAGAGGGCGGAGTCGGCGACATCCCGTAGCAGTGGGGAGGAGTCAGCAGAATCCTGTGACAATAGGAGTAGACAGAAATACCTTTTGCCGAAGATGGGTGTACTGGATAGGGCAGGCCCGTAGCTACAGTGGGGCTTCTCGGGGCCCGCCCCCCCCAGCTCACCCCCAAGGCCCCCCTGAATTCCCATCCAGCCCAAGCCGCCCGAAAAACCCTTGTTTTTCTTTTTTTTCTCCATCCCACTGTGCGCGACCATGCCACAACGTGCCATCGCCCTACCGGAGCAGAGCCTGCCTGCTGGAGCCCCTCCCCTGCCCTCTCCCTGCGACCTTGCCAGCCAGCCCCACCCTCCATTCCCATGCCACAGGACAGGGTGTGGGAAAGAAGCAACGTGACGGGGCTGGGGAGGTCAATCCAGCACCCCCCGTCTCCTGGTTTTCATCTGCATCGTGAATCGCGACACAGCGATGGCTCCCCGACTTTTTAAAATGCCCCTGACTTTAAAAATCCTGGTTATGCCCCTGGGATAGGGATTTGGATCAGGGAGGCCTGGGTTCGAATCCCCGTGTGAGATTTGCTAAATCAGTTTCCCACACACACACACGCTGTGCTGCTCTTGAGAGCGATGTTAGGTTAGAACTTAACGATCACGCTGCTGTGCTAAGCCGGGTTGACGTGTCTTCGCTCAAATACATCTTTGCAGCGAAGTGAGGCATGCCTGGGACTAGAGAGTGAAGACAGAGAGCGGCTGGGGCCTGTTTTGGGTATGATGTAGGGAGAGGTACCCTCAGGGGCAGATTAAGGCTCACTGGTTGCCCTCATGCTGACCCATCTTGGTGCCCCCCCTCCTTTCCACACTGACCCCCAGTCCATTTTAGTTGCAGCCAGTGTTCCCTCTAAGCTGTTAGTGTGAGCTAGCTCAGTTTTTTAGCCTCCGGCTCACACATTTCTGTCTCAGCTCAGGAAGGAAGGCTCCAGAGCAAACTAATTGCTGCAGCAGCCAAATCACCTGCTCACAACTTTAACGCCGGTAGCTCACAAAGTAGAATTTTTGCTCACAAGACTCCACAGCTTAGAGGGAACATTGGTTGCAGCCATACTAAAATTTATTCCTAGGATAACACAATATCCTGTACAAACGAAGCTTTTCACCCTTTCCCCAACTTTGTGGTGCCCCCTCTGGCCCTGGTGCCCTAAGCACCTGCTTAGTCTGCTTCATGACTTCCCGGATGAAGCTAACCGGTACCTTTCTCTGCTGCCTTCAGTTTCCTGGAACAGCTGCATAAACACCAGGGGGCCGTGCTGCACCCCGATTACAAGACCTCGTTCCGGTCGTTTGAAGATGCCGCTCACAGGCTCCTACCCTACCACGTCTACCAGGGAACGCTGCCTTCTCCTCATGACTACCGAAAAGGTGAGTTCATCTGGGACTCCCACCCACCCACCCACCCGCCCACCCATCAGATGCAGGTGAATCCGTCACCTTTGCTGCCATCTGCACCAAGACAGTGAAGATGACCTGGTACAAAAATAATAATAATACTTTCAATTTATTAATCGCTTTCCCCAGTGGGCTCAAAGCGATGTACAGTTACACATTTTGGGCAGGGGACTAACAATGTTCGTAGGGGATAGGGAAGACAACCTATATTCATTTAATCGCGCACGCTGTCACTGCACGGTGTAAACATCTTCTGGCTTGGCTCAGTCATTTTCCGAACGGCTGCTTGTCGAGCAGGCTTCAGGACCCGTATGTCACATCGCCACACTGCCACCGCCTGGACGGAAACATCCACTACAGGGATTTTTGTAGCCGAGAAGTTCTTCCGCCCCTTTTCCGAACCTCGACCAGGACATCCCGACCATCAGCTAACACCCTCCCACAAGGGAGATTCATTTGATCGTCTTCTGACGCGCTCAGATCACTGCACGTACACTAGAGCTGGGATGAATTCACAAACTTGGTACCTTGCATTTGAGCCAAAATAGATCCCCCCCCCCCCATAAAAAGTAATAATACTGAGACCTCAAGAAATACCAGTTTGGTGTAGTGGTTAAGTGTATGGACTCTAATCTGGGAGAACAGGGTTTGATTCCCCACTCCTCCACTTGCACCTGCTGATGTGGCCTTGGGTCAGTCACAGGCTCTGGCACAGCTGTCCTTGAAAAAGAGCAGTTTCTGTCAGAGCTCTCTCAACCCCACCCACCTCACCGGGTGTCTGTTGTGGGGAGGGGAAGGGAAAGGAGTTTGTAAATCGCTCTGAGACACCTTTGGGTTGTGAAGGGCGGGGTATAAATCCAATCTCTTCTTCTTCTTCTTCATCTTTCCAGTGATACAAATGGGTGAGAATCGGGTGCTTCCTGGGCCGCAGTGGGAATGTGGGTTGGAGGTGTGGATCTACTCTGGTGGGATTCTGATTAGGTTAGAGAGCCAGTTTGGTGTAGCGGTGAGGAGCACGGACTCTCATCTGGGAGAACCGGGTTTGATTCCCACCACCTCCACTTGCAGCTGCTGGATGACCTTGGGTCAGTCACAAGTTCTCTCAGAGCTGGTCTCTCAAGGGCAGTCCAGGAAACAGCTCTCTCAGTCCCACCTACCTCGTAGGGTGTCTGTTGTGTGTGGGGGGGGGAAGGAAATTGTAAGCTGCTCTGAGACTCCTTTGGGTAGTGAAAGGCAGGGTATAAATCCAATCTCCTCCTCCTCCACATGCAGCTGCTGGTGTGACTTTGGGTCGGTCACAAGTTCTCTAAGAGCTGTTCTCTCAAAGGGGTCCTCAAAAGAGCTCTCTCAGCCCCACCTACCTCACAGGGTGTCTGTTGTGGGGAGGGGGAGGGAGAAGAGATTGTAAGCCACTCTGAGACTCCTTCGGGTACTGAAGGGCGGGGTGTAAGTCCAATCTCTTCTTCTCTTCCTCCACATGCAGCTACTGGTGTGACTTTGGGTCGGTCACAAGTTTTCTCAGAGCTGTTCTCTCAGGGGCAGTTCTATAAAGAGCTCTCTCAGCCCCACCTCCCTCCCAGGGTGTCCGTTGTGGGGAGGGGAAGGGGAAGGGAAAGGAGTTTGCAAACAGCTCTGAGACTCCTTCGGGTAGTGAAGGGCGGGGTATAAATCCAATCTCTTCTCTTCTTCCTCTTCTAATAAACCAAGATCACTTAATGCAGTTGATGAACTAAGCCCCTGAAAATTCACGCCATGAGACATGGGTCTGTCTTTAAGCTGCCAGAGGACTGTTTGCACTACAACGGGCTGACGCGGATGCCCTTTGTGAAAGTACTTGCCTTTATGTATTACCGGCACCTTTTCAGTAACTCGTACGCCTTTCCTTGCAGCACGTCCCACCTGCAGGAGGCGAGCATATAACCTTTTCCTTCCTTCCTTCCCCCGTTGTGCTCCTTTCTAGTAGATGAAGAGTTTGAAATGGTGTCCGCGCAACTTCTAAAACGCACCCAAGCCATGTTGAACAAGTACCGCCTGCTGCTCTTGGAGGAATCCCGGGTAAGCTTCTCTGCCTGCAGCTTCCTTCTTAAAACACTTTGTCGGCTCCTCGGCTTGAGTGGTGAGTGTTCACCTGGCCAGTTCATTTGCCAACAGGCTAAAAAGAAAGTTTGCCTTTTAAGTGTATACAACAGTAGCCCGTCACCATGAAATGGTGGGCTTCTGGGTTTGGTTTGTCTCTGTGATTGGAAATGAACACAAAGTGGTTTTGTGGAGAAGCCGGGATGCGGCAGAGAGGTTCTATGCCACTGAAGCCTTCTGAATTTGCTCCAGAGAGACCCCAGTTCTGTATCTAAGTTAGTGCCTGTTAGCCTTTTAATCCACTACTGCCAACCAGACTCTCACACAACGTATTATCTACTGCTTTGTCTGAATCCTTATCGGAAAAGACAAATGGAAGAACTGAAAATCCTCATTAAGAGGTGACAGCAAACCTTTTTCCATGCACGAGAGCTTACACTGGTGACCAGTGTTCCCTCTAAGCTGAGTTAGTGTGAGCCAGCTGACAGTTTTTTAGCCTCCGGCTCATGCATTTCTGTCTTAGCTCAGGAAGGGATGGCTCCAGAGCAGACTCATTTATGCAGTAACCAAATCTCTTGCTCACAACTTTAATGCCAGTAGCTCACAAAGCAGAAGTTTTGCTCACAAGACTCCAGAGCTTTGAGGGAGCATTGCTGGTGACGGACTCTGCCTGGAGTGCGCTGCCTGACTTTGTGACATTTGGTATTTTTTTTTTGGGGGGGGGGGGTAATGTGCAGTGTTCCCTCTAAGCTGAGTTAGCGTGAGCCAGCTCACAGTTTTTTAGCCTCCAGCTCACACATTTTTTGTCTCCGCTCAGGAAGGAGGGCTCCAGAGCAGACTAATTCATGCAGCGGCCACATCGCTCACTCACAACTTTAATGCCAGTAGCTCACAAAGCAGGATTTTTGCTCACAAGCCTCCGCAGCTGAGAGGGAGTATCGGTTACGTGTACAAACGAAAGGAATTTTAAAAGGGTGAATGTATCGATTCTCGCCCTCAGTTCCCCCATTTTTACTCGGTTAATATAGGATCATTTCATTTGTCCTTACCGTATACGCAGCACCATCAACGTACACGCCGTACAGAGCTTTACGGTGTCCTCAAGAATTGAGGAGCTGATAAAGGGAGTGAGGAAATTACCAGGAGGGGGGGGTGTAAAAAAGGGGAGGGGAAACTGAGACTCAGGTTGGTTCCCTTCACATTCGGTCCTGGCCCTTGATTTACCTTCCGCCTGCCGTTCACCGGTATTCTGTTCCCCGTTGGCAGAGAATCAGTCCTTCAGCGGAGATGGTCATGATCGACCGGATGTTCATCCAGGAAGAAAAGACCACTTTAGCTCTTGATAAACAGCTAGCGAAGGAGAAGCCAGGTAAGAGGGACTTTACTCCTATCTTTTTTTCAAATAGCTTGCTTATTCTACCGCTTATTCTTTTTTATTTCTGCAAAAGGTAAAATAGTAATACACTTTTTTATGTGTGTGTGTGTGTGTGAGAGAGAGAGAGAGAGAGAGAGAGAGAGAGAAGAGAGAGAGAGAGAGAGAGAGAGCGCACCTGGAAGTCATGGCGACCTCTGGTGACTGACCTCTACTGGGGGCCTGGAGGATATTCAGAGAGGGAGCTGAATACAGCCTGCCCCCGCCTCCCGACTGCTGGTATTCCAAGGAGGTCTCCCATCCCAAGTACTTGCCGGAGTCGACCCTGCTCAGCTTCCGAGACCCGATGAGATCGGGCTGGCCTGGGCAATCCAGGACCAGGGCGTAAAAGAGTAACACGCTTGAGAACGTATTTGATTTTGTGCCGAGTGCCTTTTCCCGGCCAGCGAGTTTTACCTTACATCTGAGTCACACCCAGGTTTCTCGTACGTAAACAGCCAAAGTACGAAGCGTAGGGGTTAGAAAGGTCTGATTGGACCTGTGGTCTGAGAAACCGCCGTGCAATAACGCTTTGGAGCAGGGATGGCTGGCCGGAGGCCCACAGAGCGATTTTTATCTGTCCCTCATCACCTGAGTGTTTTAACTGTGTGGCAAACCTTTCTGGACCTCCCCCACCCCCCCCCCAGGTCCCAGGGAGGAAGTGGCAGGGCGTGTTG